ATCAGGAATCCTTCTTTGGCATCTGAAGGTAAGAAACTTCGTAATGGAAATGACTATACAGCAAGTTCTTTTGATCTGTCTACATTTACTGGTCCTAGTCCAGTTCTAAAATGGACATCTGAGGTAAAAGCTGCAGATCCCAACATGTTGGAACCTTTCTCAAGATGGGGTCGAAGCTTCAAACCGAATACTTTGCAGGAAAAGTTGCTGGAAGCACGGTTAGAGGGCCTACAACCTTGTGCTCGAGTTTCCAAAGGTTTGTCTCAAGTCGACTAAACTACAACATGATACAAACTTGAGAATTTTGAATTCCTTTTTCTTGTAGTTTATGAATCGCAGTATTGTAAATGAGAACGACCTCAGTTTGTACGCACTTGTAGGGATTGAGAGAATCCATGTCCTAACTCCTAGTCATTGTGGTAAACTTGTTACACCTTTCAGGGTTTTGTAGAAGACATGTAACATCATTTTTGGCCCTATGATAATCTTGTCAACAATAAGTAAACATTTTCTGAAGAAGTTGATTGTAGTGATATGATCATCCTGATTTTTTTAGTATCACATTGAGTTGGTGGAAGTCACTGGTTTGAGCCGATTGTCGTTGAACTGAATGTGGGTGTTTTGCGTGGATTATCGAGCCTCGCTAACAATTAAAAGATGGTTCAGAAGATTGTAAGGAACAAACCTCTAGAGACAAAGTCCCAATGAGGGGTGCTTTATTTATGAAGATTACAATTAGGAAGAAGTAAAACGTCTACTAGGGGCACAATCACACAAAATAATTTGAAAGTTGATAATAAGAACTAAACGAAATGAAATTACATAATTATCTGTTTGAGTGTGATTGATTCGTGCTCTTTCCTTCCATGTCTTCTTTTCTCTTTTATACTCCTTTTCTACTTTTCCTTGTAAAACCGTTTGGAAACTGCTTGTTGCTTTATAATTATCCACTTGCTTCATAATGGCTGACGTGTTAAGGAATTCTCGTTTTTAAACTGCTGCTATTGCTCCCCTCTTTTAACTGCTTGCAATCGAGATTTTTGGATCGTGGAACGTGATAAGATTGCTCAATAACTGATTCAATAACCGCCGCTTCACATAACAACATGACGCTATATTCGCTCAGATCTTGGGCGTCTCGAAGGTTTGGGTGAGAATGGAACCGTCACTCTGAGCGACAATTAGCTATGTCAACGAGTCGTGCCGAACTCAAGCCGGAAAAAAAAGCTCAGGCCGAGCCTGAGCTTTTTTTGACCGAGATTTTTTCGGCCCGAGCCGAGCTGAACCGGGCCCGGCCAAAAAAAATGAGGCTCGGCACGAGCCTTAGCGGGCCGAGCCGGCTCGATTTTTTTTTTTTAAATTTGCATTATTTGAAAAAAAAAATTGTACATTTTATGCGTGTTATAAATTAAAGAAATTATGAAATAGTTGAAAA